ACTAAGTCTTTGAAATATAAATATAGAAATATGAATAATATGAAATAGACGTAATTGTTGCTGCGTCGCTGCGCAATATGTAGCGCAGTCATTCCGCAGAAATGTAAAATTTAAATGATGTAATAATGGTCACGTGACTTCCACAGTATTTTGGTTTGGTTGGGTCGGCAACACGGGACCTCTCTATCTCTATCGGTCCCTATTTTACTATCTCACAGTATGTATTTTAATAAACACTTGTCTTTTGATGTTCCTGATGTAAATTACAGTTATAATAAAATGATAACAAAATAATATACATTTAAAAGAAAAAAAATCAAATTTATTAGTCTTGCTAGCTAGTTAATTAATTAAACCATTTGCACAGCATAAATCAAATTCAAATATTCACAATGATGAGATATCTAAATTAAATAGCAATGATAGCTTGTTAAACAAGCTTAATGTTAATGAATACAATTTTATAATGTCCAATTAAATGGTTAATTAATTACTGATTAATTATAATGATAATGATAATGACAAATTAGTTGTTGTAGTGATAACTATTTAAAATTAAGCAATAAAAATAAATTTTTTTTTGATGAAATTAATTCAAATCTAACGACAATGTGCTGGGCACATATTTGTACACTCCACCTGTATATGAAAGGTAAAAAACATTAATATTTTATCTTAAAGTATAATTATATTTTACACTATATATGCATACCTCATCATCATTAAATAGTGGCAGTGATGGTGGTGACAATGGTGATGGCAATGATGGTGGTGACAATGTTGATGATGATGATGATGTCTGTAAGTATAAGTAAAAAAATTAAACAAAATGTTATGTATATTATTAACATTTTGGTTATTCTTACATTTTGGTAACAGTGGCGTTTTTTGTGCAATGTGCCAACATTATAATTGGTTTGCTTTTGGGCCCGAAGGTTGTAATTCTTCTGTATGATTTTTAAAAAATGAATGTATAAGTTGACAAAAATAAAGGTAAATTAATACACTAATATATTAATAAACAGAAACGTTTGTTAGAGCCTTTCCTCCTTTGAAACACTGATATTATTGTTAACATTAGCATTATCTTTATTTCTAATAGAAGATGCATCAATCGATTCTTCATGCATCAATCAATCATTGCCATTATTCATATCAGGTTCTGTATTTTCTTCTGGTTCCAATTCATTTTGATCATCGTTGTGGTTTATTGTAAGTAAGGCTCCACATGAGCCAGCTCATGAGGAGCTTTAATTGTAAGATCATCCCTGCTTACTGTCAATATATCATCAGGTGATTTGTTGAATGACAATGATGCTTCAAGAACTGGATCTTCATTATATAATTCTGGTTCATTTCAGGGTTGGCAAATTGACCGGTCCATTGAGAACAGATGGATTTTGGACTGGTCCATTGCCATTAATAAAATACTAAATATGGTTAAAGTGTTACTTACACTAATAGACCCAATGGACCACCAATAGACCATCAATGGACCACACATTTGCCAACCCTGGTTCATTTATATCATTGTTTATGTCAATATTATTATTGTTGGATATTGGTGTGGTAGATTCAGGAAATGATGACGCAAAATCTTTATAATCAATATAATCATTAGCATCATTTCTATTCCTGTAAATATATTTCATTGATTTTCTTATTAAGTCATCAAGATTACCAGATATTTTCTTCAATATTTCATCCAGGTTGTTTACAACATGCAAAGGAACTGGAAAGCCATAATTAATACCATGAAATTCAAATAAAAATCATGAAATTATATTGTCTTGAAAATCTGCCAATTTCTGCTAGAAATTGAAATTAATACAGTATTAGCATTAAATAAAGTGGTTAACCTTTCATGTTTGAAATGTGTATCTTACAGAATTGGTTGCCGCACTAATCAAAATACAAAAAGAATTTAGTATCAAACTAGAGTGACATCAATGGTGAGCAATAACCACCACCACCATCCTTAAAACACTTGCTCACTTCTTTCAAAAATGTTGTCTTCTCTGTTTCTTATTTTTTTGTAACTGGACATTTTGAAATCCTTAAATTAAAGAAAGTTTGTGGTTGATCGACACATATTACTAATTATTTATCCATTGGTTTTTTTTTTTGGTAGGACCTTTACCACAAAATAATCTGCCTAGAATAAATAAATATATATATGAAGTCAAAGTTAAATGTATAAAATGCATATCCATATATATGTATATATAAATGCATGTAAGAATTACTTTGTCCTTGCATCCTAAGGTTTTGTCAGTTAAAACTTCTGCTATTGTTTGAACATCATTTATATTAATCAATTGGGGTAAATTGCTTAATTTAATAAATTCTGATTTGGACTTATTTGAGTTATGCCTAGGAAAAGATGGATTATCAATTAGTTTAAAACTATATAGTCACTATAACCAACAAACAAATATGAATAATGATTAATAATACCATTCTAACAATTCAGCTGCTTCCGGTATTGAAGGATTTATAAGTATGGTGGTGTTTCATGATGTTGATATTGATTTACCTATAGAAAAGATAATAATTACTCATTCATTACTTACACATATGTGTGTGTAAAATATTATTAAAGATCCTCAAACCTTTATAATCAGTAAGACGACCACATTTTATGGCAATTGCTGAACCAAGAGAGAGATAGTTATCAACATGATGTCCCCATAACGTTACTCTGATCTCATAACCACTTTTATCAATAATTTTAAGATCTTGTTTTTGAACCTAAAATCAAAAAAAAAAAAAATAATTAATTAATTTTAAAAGAAATTTTTCAATGAAACATATATAAAAAATGAATACAGGGTCTAGAGAAGCTTTTGGAAGAATATCAGTAATAGAAAAACAATATTTAATGATCCCAATAATATCTATTAAAATAAAGTATATCAGATATCAGATATGTTATTTATAATTGACAAGTAAATAAGACAAAATATATGTTATTTAAAAGAATTGAAAGCTATAATTACCAACATTAGTATTTTTGTCAACACCAGATAAAACCTCCAATGGAACAAAATCAAAAATTAATACAGGAACAAAAGACTCCTTCTTCCTCCTTTGGGGTTCAAATACAAATATTTAAATGTTTTTTTTAAGAATATAAAATGTTGTACAAAATCAATGAAAATTTAATAATTAGTTTGCATTTATTTTAATAACTAGAGTGACGACAAGTGGTAATAACCACCACCATCCTTAAAACGCTTACCCATATATTTTTTCAGCATCTTGTTTTTACAAATGACATGTTTGTAAAATAAAAATAAAGAAAAAGAAGTTTTGTGATTTGATCAACGTGTACACATTAATTATTTATCCTATGGTGCGCCGTATCTAAAGACATCAAATGCTGCGCCTCATGCCGAAATTTTTAACACCGATCTTTCCTGATTAAGAAATAACTCGAAGCAAAATGTCTCCAGTAAAAAAACAAAAAAACCATTTAAAAAATGCTAGAAAAACTAAAAAGGACAATAATGTTACTAATAAACAATGTTAGTGTGATATTACAATCATTTATTATCATTTATTAATCTAATGGTATATTTTAATATCTTAAACTAGTTATTGTAGATGTTCAGGAAGAGATTATTGCAGATGTTCAGGAGCATGTTCCTTCAAATCTTGAACCCGATCACTTGGAATTTTTGGAAGATGAATTTATTTATGAAAGTGATGATTCAGGAGATGAATGGCATGATGATAACATATCATCAGAATTAGAAAATGCTTTTTCAAAGATTGTTTCTTCTAGCTCAAAACCAGATATATGGAAAACAGAGGGTCAACCACAATTTTACACAGGAGCAGCACCAAAAACTATCAGATTAAAACAAGATGCTCTAAAAAATGCAGCAAAAGGAACTGAAAAGATCACATCATTCTTTCCGGTAATAATAAAAATACATATTTTAAGAAATAATAATTTATTTATTTATGTTTTTTATTTTTTTCTTCAAATTTAATTAGATTGGTGAAAAAAATCCAGAAATTAATGAACAGACTCAAAATGAAATAGGACATTTTTTTGAAGATGATGATGATTCAGATAACAAAATTCCTTTTTTTACTTTAGAAAATTTAGAAATTAACCTAAAAAATAAATCAATTTCTGATTATAGGTTACAGTATGTTGCCCAATATCTTCGTCTTGTAAACAATGGATATGCCAAGATCACAGCCAGTGAAATTATTTCTAAAAGCATTAATCATGGTCTTTGGATGGCTAGGTTGATAAGATCTTGGGCAATTCAATATCAAAAGAATGGAGAAATATCAATGTCTAAAAGAGGAAAACATCAAAAGATTAAAAGCATTATTAATGATAAAGATGTTAAAATGAAAATTGCTAGATATTTAAGAGGAAACAGGTTTACTCTTAGTATTAATAATTTTATTAAATTCATTTCTGATGAGGTTTTTCCTTCTCTAGGATATGAAAGAAGAAAGGAAATTAATAAAGATACAGCTCGAAGATGGCTTAATAATATGGGTTGGGAATACAAATCACATCAAAAAGATGTTTATTTTGATGGTCATGAAAGACCAGATGTGATAGAATATCGAATGAAATTTTTTGAAAAATTTATGCCCATATTTGAGGGTGAAGAAATGGAAAACATTATTTGGCCTGCATTAGATCTTTATGAAAAAATACATATTTTGGTGACTCATGATGAGTCTACATTTTATGCAAATGATGGAATCAAGAAATTTTGGGGACCCCAAGGAGAACAGCCTCTTCGACCAAAGTCACAAGGTGCAAGCCTTCACATAAGTGAATTTTTATGTGAGACTATTGGGAGATTATGTTTAGGTGAGAATGAAAAGCAAGAAAATTATTCACTCCCTGAAGAATCAAGAATACCTGAAGAAGCATGCTATATAATTAAACCAGGAGCAAATCGAGATGGATATTGGCAGAATTCTGATCTTGCTGAACAGGTTTTTAAATTTAAATTTATTTTTTATTAATTTTTATTATTACTAATTACTTTCTCATTATTTAGTTAAAAAACAAAGCAATACCTATTTTTGAAACAGTGCATCCTGGATGTATTGCTGTTTTTGCTTTTGATCATAGTTCAAACCATCTATCTTATGCACAAGATGCACTTGTAGCTTCAAGAATGAACTTGTCTTCAGGTGGTAAACAACCCTTAATGAGAAACACATATATGCGTAATGGACAATTACAAACTATGGTTTTACCTAATGGACAACCAAAAGGTATGAAAATTGTGCTTGAAGAAAGAGGTTTGTGGAAGATAGGATTATTAAGGATGTGTAAAGAATGTAAGAATCATACACAGGTGAGTGAGGTTTTGGGCTGCTGTGCTTTTCGTATTTTGTCATTAGAGCCAGATTTTCTGGCACAAAAATCTCACTTAGAAGAAATTGTAGAAAAGGCAGGGCATAAAATAATCTTTTATCCAAAGTATCATTGTGAATTGAACTATATAGAAAGTTTTTGGGGGGCAACTAAACAATATGCCAGAAAAAATTGTAATTATTCATTTAAAGAATTAGAAAGAACTGTTCCTCTGGCATTGAATTCGGTTTCACTTTGTAAAATTAGAAAATTTGCTAGAAGATGTTATAGATTTATGAGTGCTTATAGATTAGGACTTTCAGGAAGAGCTGCAATATTTGCAGCAAAAAAATATAAATCCCATAGAAAAGTACCAGAATCTGTGTTAATGGATGTAGATATATTATCATTGGGATGATTAAAAATAAATCGTTTGAATTATCACGTGATAATTTTTGATCTATTCTCGTTTTTTGATTGGCCAAATTAGTTTGATCGGCGTGCCGAAATTTTTTAATTTATATCAAAATTACTTAATTTTAAACCCCCATAACTTTTTTTTTTACTAATTAATTTTAAAAAATCTCTCTATTACATTGTTGCTTATGTTTCAAAGATTGCAAAAATAGAAAGATTTTTGTGGCCTGACAAATATTTCCAAATCTATCAGGGTTTAAAGATTTGCAATTTTTTTGATGTCTTTAGATACGGCGCACCATAGTAACATTGAAATGCCAAATCTCAAATCCCAAAATAGCAATGATATTCTTTATGTCACTGGATTATAAAATCACATGACTCAATCATTATGAGTATATCATCAGGAAATTTCCCCGCCGCAATATTACATCTGTAAATTTTAATATGTAAAGTTGTAATATTTGCATAAAAATCATGTAATATTTACACTTGATGTAATAATTGCATAATTTTTGTATGCTTATTTGCATAATATTACAGGCCTGCTGTAAA